GTAAGACTAAATTTGGGGGTTTTTACGATCGTCTGACCGCTCAACCGAGGGTTCCCGATGGTGCTCGAGTTAAATGTTCTGGAATTTTAGTCGCGTTTCTAACAAGATCTTTAGGGAAATGGTGCGATCTGCTCTACATTACGAGATATTTTTCGAAAATGATCCCAAAATTGAATTTGAAAGTCATTAAAATAAATTTTAATTCATAACCGCACATGAGGACTTTTTTGTAGAGAGAATGCAGAGCTACAAAGAAGGTTTCAATTACAATCTTGCTATCTCCTCTAGATTCCGGGATTTTGAGAAGAAAAGAACAGTAAATTTTTGTTTGAAAACATGAAAACTTCAATTTCACTTTTGAATAAAATTTTGAAAAAACTTTTTGATGAATGTCACCACTAGATTTCGAAATAATTACCAAAATATATTTAAACAAATTACATTTTGGCTCGGTTTTTGGTCTTTTCACCTGATTTAAGAAAAAATGATTATCGTTACTAACTTTTTATAATTTTACGATAATTGGAGTTGTTTCAATTATCGAACGCAACGGGATTGGAGGATTTTTGAATTGATAAAGACCGTAAAAATGATAAACAAACTTAAATTACAATAATTTCCCTACTAAAACGGTAAATCGTCATGGATCATTTTTTCCATTTTCGTTAATTGTGGATGCATCTTGAGAACGCGTGCTTTCAGGATGTAAAATCAAAGTACCTTTTTTTTTAGTTGAAGAAATTTCCAACCGAAAATGTCTGTTTGAAACGCAGCAAATATTTCTCTATCAGAATTACCGGGCTCAACGGAAAATCTCACATGACATCGGGACCCTTCGGGTCCACGCGTAAATCACGAAGCAAATCGCCAAATATGAATTATCAGTAGTATCAATCTACTCCTTAAAGAGTATACATCGGTTAGTCAGAGATTCACCTATAGAGTACAGTATCAAACTAACCGAGTATCGAGTACATCACCGAGTATTATCTTGAGTCTAGCGCTCTGTGTAGCGTCTCTATTTGATTCAATTATCAATTAATTCCGAGTTAATTATCAATTATTTCGTGTCAATCATCAAGTTTAATATCGAGAGAATCTCTAGTGCAGTGTAAAGACTATTATCAAATTGATATTGAGACATTCATCAATTAGTGTATCTCTGAAATCAAGACGTGTGGCTTGCGCCACAAATAAAGCACATCACCAGTGTTTTGTAATCCGCGTGTCTTCAATTTTCACCCTTTCCATATCACATGTCCCCAATCCGCCCTAATATTAGCCTCAATCTCTAACAAATAGTCCTTCGAGCCGGTTTTTGGGCCATATAAGTGTGTGTTAAGTGAATTAATTTTAAGACTGAGAAAAGGGACGCCTCGTGTGTAACGGACGTTCGGGTTCCACACGAGCAATTCAACGGACAGTTTGGAGAAAATCAACAGTGCCTTTGTGTCCAGTGTTTACATCTCAAGTTCAGGTAAGTGTAAACAGTGACAGTTCGACCTTGAGTGAGTGATGTGCGACTTCGGAAAACCTCGGTCTCCGTTGGGACTAACCGAGGCCCAAGCCGCGCACGCAACGCCAAGATCTAGTAGTCGGTAACAGAGGATCACCGATTAGTTACCCTGCCTAACAACTGACTCAGTTACCATGGCAGAAACGCCTACCGACGTGAAGGTCAGAGACAATCAGCGAGAAGATCAACGCACTGAGGAGACTTGTTACGTAACTGTTCCGACCATTTCAGTTACTGAGTCAACAAATCAAGAGCACTTCATCGGTAACCCTACGCAGTCTACTCCCATCCTTGACTCTACTCAACAGACGAACATCAAAAGGAGTGTGTCTGACATGGGAGCGACAGTGAAATTATCCACATTTCAAAATTCCAGATGCAGCAGATCGACTTCAAGGTCAATACCTTGGATGAGATTCATCAAGAGCTATTGCAATCAGCAGAGAATATCAATGGCCTTACCATCGAAGAATTAGACGGCCAGGAGAAACTCATCGAAGGAGAATGAGGAGCTTCTCAATCTCTAAGAGAAATTCATCGAGAATTTACTTCCGACTCATGGGTATATCACCGAGACTACCTATCAGAGAGTTGTAAAAAGACTCACTTTTGTTAAGAAGCATCGGGTCATATAATCCCGACCCTCTATAGCAATCGTCAGGAGATTGTCAGCATCATCTAGGAGCTAAGGAAATCCAAAGACTCCAGGATTGAGAGATGAGTATCATATTCCATTTATGAATAATTTGGCAAGTGATACATCTCTCACCCTGCGTTTCTCCCTTTAGCAATCAACAACGAGCTTAACCACAACTGAAGGAATTTACACCTTCTTCAAGTCGACAGAAGGCTCATCAGAAGGAGGAACATCACCAGCAAGTCAGATGTATACTAGGAAGAGGCGCGATCTCCAGAGTATCAATGATCTGCGCTGCCAGCAATTCAAGTAAGAGCACAGCCACCAAAGAGAGTGTCGATTAGAATCGGAGCTCCAATCGATTAAGCATCAAGAGAATGTCATCAACAACAGAAGAGTCAACACCAAAGAGTTTACCAATCTAGAGTATCTACGATCATCGACAGAGAGGATGGCCGATTGACCTCCAGATTTCAAGGTCAACGATCGGGAACAATTATCAAAGAACTGCAACGACTGAGCTTCAGCATCAAGATCATCAATCAACAGTTCCCATCAATAAGCAGAGATCAGCACTATACAAGCTCTGCAACGAGCTGATCGAAATGATCAAATACCTGGTCCAAGGGACAATCATCATAGGGGCTAACAGCCAAGGCGAATCATTAAACAGGTTGTTAAGTCCAGAACTTCTTAAATAAAAGATTGGCGTCAACACACAACCATTGATTGAATAACTGTAAGTCACAATCAATTGCAAAGTTGCTCGCTCAGGATTTCCCAAGTGCACTAAAGGAATCCATGAACGAGCAGTCAATGGAGCATCACCCAAGAGCTAGGACCAGGACCATTCAACTCACGTAGTAGACATAGCATTCACCGCATCAGGGGTCTGAGAGACAAGCAATTAGCACGAAACTGAAGATCACCAGTAATAACCTCAGTTCGATCCATCATAGGACAGCAAAACGACAGTCATCAATAGAAATCCAAAGCAGAGGTATCCTGCAAAGGAATGTAGTTATTAGCTCAACCAGGCGCAACAGAGCCCACGCCTATTAGCCACGCAATAGGTGCTCAATAATAGCTGAGGTTCGCTGAGGAAACAAAATCCCAAACCAAGCAAGCGGCAATTTCAGGAGAACAGCAGCAAGCAAACTTCACCACAGACTGAGAGAATTTAAGACACTCTCAAGTCTTCAGAGAACATCGAGAGAACATCAGCGCAGCAAGTCTTCAACTCAAAACCCGGGATTGCAGGGAGTAACTGGGTGCAGAGTTAAGGTATCATTTTCTCTATTTATTAATTTGGTAAATGATACCGCCCTCATCAATTGTTTCTTTCCCGAGGTACATCAACACGACCAGAGGAAATCATCAACGAATTAATCATCCTGTTTGAAGAGCCGACCACCAAGGTACTCGGATTGTATTGGCATCAGTCTTCAGATACCTTCCGATACAAATCGATGTAGTTCGATCCAACAACCTTTATAAAGGAAACAGTGCTATCAGAAATAGCTCAACTGTTCGACTCATTGGGATTTATCGCTCACAGTGGTTGCTCGAGGCAAGAAACTCATTCAAGATTTATGGAGACTTGAGCTCACTTGAGACGAGCCACTTTCAGAAAAGTATGAAAACCAGTGAACGAGCTTCAGAGAGAACCTCCACAAGTTAGACCAAGTCTCAGTGCCAACGTGGCTGAGACTCTCATCGGAGACATGCAGCATCCAGATCCACGGGTTTGCAGATGCTTCAACAGCATCAATGGGCAACAGTATCAGTGGTGTAAATTCGCATCAAGCAGATCAACGAGCCAGCATCGACAGTAGTGGTATTTGCTAAAACAAAAGTAGCTCCTTTCAAGCGCATGACCGTTCCTTGACTCGAGCTGACAGGAGCAGTTATGCTGACTTAATTAGTAGTCGCAACTCAGCAGATGCTGGAACTCAACGAAGTGGAAAGGTATCTATGGTCTGATTCAAGCGTAGCCCTGGCTTGGATCAAGAGCTACCCATCAAGATGGAAGGATTCCGTCCAAAATCATCAAAATGCGGGAAGTCATCAAAATCCAGGAATTCCTTTCAGACGCTAATTGGAGGCATATCAGCGGTAAAGAAAATCCAGTTGACTGTGTATCCACAGGACTCTCACCAAAAGAACTAACAGAACATCAGCTACGGTGGTCAGGTCCTGAATGAATAAATCAGGAACCTGAGAGCTGGCCATCTTCACCAATCGACTCTCCAGCAGAAGTATCAATAGAAGCGAAGCCATCTCCATCACATCAAACAGCCATCTAAGAAATGCCTTGGCAGACCTCAACAGATACTCAACACTATCCGAGGTCCTCCAACTAACAGCTACTCTGAACCGAGCAGTTGTTCCAGTTCCTCAGACGCCTGTCCTCACATCTAGAGAACTCAACGAAGGTAGGCTATTCTGGGTAAAAATAACACAATATCAATATTTTGCATCTATCGTGAACAGACTTCTCATCTTTGAACAGACGACTCGAGAGAGACCATCAACTACCATGGAGTCATCCGTTAGCAAAACTGACTCCAACTAGACAATGAGAGCATTATCAGGCTAGGTGGCCGTCGCAAGAATTCTCAATTAGACCCTGATGAGATTCATCCAATTATTCTGCCTCGTCAGTCTCACCTCACAACTTTGGTCATCGAAGAAGCTCACCGAAGAGCTCTCCACGGAGGGACTCAACTCACTCTAGCCTATACTCGCCAGAAGTATTGGATCATCGGTGGCAGAGGCATAGTGAGAGCATACATCGTATGCTGTCCCATCTGCGTTAGACATCGAGGAAGATAGGCCCAGCAGCTAATGGTCCAACTGCCTTCTGTGACCATATCACCTGCACGAGCTTGTCTCCATACGGGAGTAGACTATGCCCGTCCCTTCCCCATTACCAAATGGCGACTCACAAATGCCCAACCATCTATTGTTCATATCGCAGTATTTGTGTGGTTCAGTACATCAGCAGTCCATTTAGAGCTCGTTTCTAGACAAACAACAGAGGCTTTCATCGGAGCTTATAAGAGATTCACCGGAAGGAGAAGTATCCCCGTGGTTAGGTACAGTGACAACGCTACTACGTTCGTTGGAGTCTCAGGAGTACTCAACAAGCTTTACAATCAAGAGTCCAGAGAGAATCAACAGATTCAAGCTGCCCTCGCCACAAATGGGACTCAACGGAGCTTCTCTCCACCAAGAGCACCCCATTTCGGAGGCAAGTGGGAAGCAGCTGTTAAATTTACCAAGTATCACCTCAAAAGAGTACTTGGGCCGTCGATATTTACCTACAAGGAACTCAACAGTATCCTGATCCAGATAGAGACCTGCTTAAACTCCAGGCCAATCACGCCAATGTCAGATGACCCAGATGACCTAGCACTCACCCCAGGTCATTACCTAATTGGTGAGCCTCTACAGCTGATTCCAGAACCAGCAATCATCAATGAGAACCCCAGCAAACTGCAGAAATGGAATCTAGTCGCTCAGAAAATTCAACAGTTCTGGCCCAGAGAGTCTCTCCAAAGGTATCAAGCTATCTACAAGTGGAATCAACGACAAGAAAATATCAAAGTTGGGGACATGGTCCTGATGGTCGACGAGGAATATCCACCAGCAAAATGGCCACTCGTTAAAATAGTAGCCGTTCACCCATGAGAAGATGGCCTAACGAGGGTTGTAATGATCAAAACATCACGAGCAGTAGTACCAACTCGACTAGATGGTACCCCTAACATCGAGAGAACCACCAGCACCTGCATGACGTTCATCAGACACATTACTAAGCTCTGTCTCTTACTGTCAGACCCACCGCCAGCAGAACATCTTCCAGAAGGCGATCCAGAGCTAGCCAACGAGTAACCAGTAAGACAAACAACGAAGAATTCAGCGCAGAAATTTATCATCCCTGATGATGAATGGCCCCCGGGATGTTTGAAATGCAGCAAATATTTCTCTATCAGACCGGGCTCAATGGAAAATCTCGAACGACCTCGGGACCCTTCGTCTCCACGCGTAAATCACGAAGCAAATCGCCAAATATGAATTTTCAGTAGTATCAACCTACTCCTCAAAGAGTATACGTCGGTTAGTCAGAGATTCATCTATAAAGTACCTATAGAGTATATTGAGTCGAACGCTCTGTGTAGCGTCTCTATTTGATTCAATTATCAATTAATTCCGAGTTAACTATCAATTATTTTGAGTCAATCATCAATTCGTGTATTCCTGAAATGAAGACGCGTGGTTTGCGCCACAAATAAAGTACATCACCAGTATTCCGCGTATCTTTAATTTTCACCCTTTCCATATCACGTATCCCCAATCCGCCCTAATATTAGCCTCAATCTCTAACAATGTCCTTTGACAATTCTACCAATATCCAGTTATTATCGAGATAACTAAACATTAACCAAAACGTAATACATCTTTGTTTTTCACCACTCTACTCCTCATTTATTGAAACACGTAATTCTCATTCACTCACCCTCCTTGTCGTTTTCATCATTATTAAGGTTCTTCATTCAGATATTGTCCATTGAAGAATTGAAGAGAAAATTTAATTTTTATTTCAATTCCCATCATTTGAATAATTTCATACTCAACCAAATATTTACAATCCACTAATTTCGTTCACCACTGCACTTCTGACATTGTTTTTCGACCGTTCCTTCAAGATGTTTCAACGGTGAAGAATTACCCTAACATAATTATTCATTCATTAAAATGACCCGAGAATTAAGAACACCTTCCAATCGTTCAATATATTCAATTGTATTCATTTGTGAGTGGAACTTGATCAATTAAGATTATCATTATCGTGCAATATTTGTTATTGATGTTTACTTATGTACTATGTAACATCATAAAGTTAATGAACAGGAAATTTAAAATACTATTTCCTTTGTTATTTTTTATTGAAAATTGGAAAAAAATCAAAATTTCATCTCCTTCACCATACATCCAAAGGATTACCCCCAAAATTCAGTATGTTAATGATCCAGACGGAGTACATATTGAAAGTCGTTATACGTTATGAGTGATACTGGATGTGGAAAGATTAATTCGGTCACAGGGATCATATCATGATGTATCTAAATGGGCTGCATAACTTTATAAGCATTCAAAGCATCGCCGTAATAGAGTCTTTCTAAGGTGCGATACACGATTAGTATCTCTTCATTGATTATATAGATTTCGTGAATCTCTCCAAATACCGGAAGTGAGTCCTTCTCAATTTCCAACAAAATGATAAAATTTGGCTCATATATTGTACCAAAACGTTTAACTCTTCGAGATCGTAATAAATGACAATTCTCTTTGTCTCCTTCAGGTATATAATCATCGAATAAGTGTGAATTTGGAAGATTTTGGAGTAAGATTATCTGCCCATACTGGATTTCGTCACCTGGATAGAGGAATTTCTTAGATGTATTACCGGGACTCGTTGTGAGTCGAGAACAGAGTCGAGCTTGATGACGATAAGCTAGAGTGTAGGGCATATTTTTACAATTCCGTACGACAGGTGCCAATGACTTGAAATAATTATGGGCTCTTTCGAAACCCACGCACCATTGCTGACGCGCAGGACCAAATTGTCTTATGTAACGACACAAATGGATTGTGAAATGGAATTTAGGAGTTTCTTACCAGGATACAACCTGTCAAATCTAATGATGAATAATTCTATCATTGGTGGAAGGGGGTCAACTGTCTGTGTGAAACTCGTAAGCAAAACACACATTTGTAACCTGCAACAGGTGTACATGACATCACATGTACTCTAGAACATCATCGTCATCTGTTATCCACTCATTTATTAATAATGGCAAGGTGTGCATTAATCCTAGTATTTCAGCTACGCTTTGTTTCAAATCATCCTCCAATTGTTCACGTGTGATAATAACTGGTTTATTCACTTTGAAGTGTCCGAAATCAAAGCTTATGATCCGTTCGTCTAAATCTTTCAATGAAAAAAGTTTTTTTTCGATGATGTAATAATACAATAGATTTCTAGTGCTTACTTCGCCCACGCCATCTTCCAGAAACAGGTGTATGAGATCTTGTGGCAAGCATTGTGTGATGTAAAAAATCTCATTCTTAGCCAGTGGTGTTGGTCCGTTTGCTTCGTATCGTCATGTCCAGAAATTTATCATATTTTACGGGACGTTCGGTGTTGTGACGGCCTCCACATGCTGCTGGTGAGTGATGTTATCGCGTCTCATAAACAACCGATCATCAGAGTACAATTTCCAGTCATCAACAGTTGCTAAGCAACTTCTACATAGTCTATATGCCGAAACAGTCTCTTCACCCATAGATGCTGATGCTAGCGTATCTCCAGCACAGAATAAGATCGACCTCTTCAAATTCTTTTCTTCACCCCCAATCATAATGGTAATTCCGTCGTACTGTAAAATTTCAATGTCTGCTAGGATGGCTTCCGATACTCGTTGCAGACCAAATTCTTTGAGTATTGTCGATTCAACAATTAACAACTCTTACTCAACTCTTACTCTTACTCTCTCAACTCTTTAATACCTGAAATGTCAGCCAATACACTTGCTCTATTGGTTGGCCTCAAATGTCAGCCAATACAATTGCACTATTCGACTGTTATTTCATATAGTCAACACGGTATTCAGCTGATAATTTTTGATAATTCAACTGGTAATTTTTTATCTTGACTATATTTGTGGAAAACAAAAGATTCCGTGGTCGAGTTAACCGCTGGTTGGAACTGTCAGATGGATTTTGTCTCATAGTGCAATTCTGTTGGCCGACATTTGGATGGGAAAATTCCCTCCCGAATACTACTCGAGCTTCAAAATTAATCGAGTAATTCCCTCAAGGTTCCCTGCACACAAACAAAGTCGTCACGTTTTTCAGGAAAAATCACTCGTAGTTCGCACCCGTGATTTTTTAACCTAAAAAACTTGACTCCTTCGTTTGTTTGCAACGAACCTATCGGAAATTGCTCGATAATTTTGAAGCTCTCATGGTATTACTTGTGGTAATACAATACGTGCGTAGGCGGTACGAGTTGGTTATTCTTCTTTTTTACCCACCGACGAGATGAACGCATTTCAAATGGTTCTGGAAACACCATGTTCATATTTTCAACAAGGAACTTGTCGAAGTACCACTTCGTAGAGACTGAATCGAACAGCATTGAGGGTGGATATGTTCGGGTGAATAGAGCCTCGACTTTATTGAATGCAACAAGGTGTGTATCAGGATCCATGGTTTGGCGGCCTTCAGCCTGTGAAGAAGATTAAACTTTTCTATGAATTAGATCAATCCATAGTAAAGAACAAGCAGGGGTTGAGGCCTTTGAGTGGAGCTCCTTTTGCGTTGTTAGTCTTTTTTTTTATATTGCTACCAATTGCATTGGTAGCAGGCTTCCGAATGGATCCATAGCAATTGTCTTTTGAAATAGTCAACAAGTGAATGTCACCTTCAATGACCGCAAATGCCATAATTAAAGCCTAATCTTTTTATTTAATCAAATCAATTAATCAAAATTAAATCACTAAAATCGTCTCAATTAATTAAATCTTAAGTTTTGAGGAAAATCTGACTCAGCAGAAAACCTGAATAGATAATGTTGTCTTTTCTGAAACTTTCGTTACTTCGCAAAAGATAATTAAACTGACAATTACCCTGTTATGCAGAAAATAACATGCGATAGACAGTTGACTACTAATTTTCAGGACAATGACAGTCAATTTGATTTAAAGAAAAAAAATGATTAAATTTTATATTTCACTTAAAATTGAGGGAAATTCCTTAATTTGAAGTATTTTGAAGGTCAGAGTTCCTTAATCCATTATAATTATCAATGAAATATGAAAATTCACTGTCAAAGAACACTCAACTTTCAGTGAAATTTGTGTCAACGAACACTCAACTTTCAGTGAAATTTGATATTTCATAATTTTTTCCCCTTAAATCAAATTCCGTATCACTCCTGAAAATTCAAGGATATATTTATCAGAATTTTCTTATTTTCTATTGATTTTCAGATAAGAATTTAGGTAAAATTTACAGTCCTCATTAATTTTTCAACGAAATTTTCAATTTTCAATGACAAAATTTCTTGAAATTTCAATATAACTTAAATTTGTTAATAATTTCTGGGAAATCGACTGCAAGCGTTTATCCATAGCCCCATCATCAGTGCTTCCAGCAGAATATTACCTTGGAATAATTTTTAAGTAATTATTTATATATAATCATTCTTTATAATGGTCATGTGGGGGTCATATAATGATCATGTGGGGGCAAAATTCCGAAGCAAATATCCTATAAGAAATCCCATAGAGACAACTTGACTGGAAATCCTATAGAAAATCCTATGGAAATTCCTATAGGATTTCCTATAGGAATTTTTCATACGTGTTTCCCCTAAACCAAATAATTTCTATGGAAAATAACTCCATAGGATGAGTAACTTAATAGTTGTCGAATTTTTTGCAATAGAAAGAGACAGTAGAGTTTGGAAGAAGGGGGAATCCACTGAGATAATCATTAGATATAGTGATAAAGAGAGAAGAAAACCAGTGACAAAGTTTCCAGAAGGAAAAACCTGAGAGTAAGAATTTTTTTAATGGAGTAGTCATAAATTTCAACTGAATTATGAAAATTATTCAACAGTT